CTACACCACCGGCGCCGGCTTAAGTCCCACTGTTGCACAACCTTAAAAATATCGGAGATCACTTTGGGTTGCCTGTCGCACTACGCGACCTATTTCTCGATCCCACTCTTGCACCGATTGAATCAATTGGACCGTGAGCCATGACTTGCTGTTTCTTTTTTGGTTTACCTTTCTCTTTCTTTTTTCTGACTTCATCGAATTCCGAAGATTCGTTGTCAGATGTTAATATCGGCGAACGTTTCAGTGGGTTCCTGAGATCCTCACTAACAGCGTTGCCAGGTCATTTTCTGAAAAATTTGGACCAGTCTAAATATAAAATCTGGATAAAACTGGAATGCTCCAAAAATCCTGTTTTTAACATAATGCTACTGAAATCAACTGATGTGTCAATCTCCCGTAAATATCGGTCAGTATGACCATCTGGAATTTATTCAAAGTGTACTAGAATGTTTATGAAATCCATGTTTAAAAAATATATAAAGCCAACTTGTTAGCATTGCTAAAATCATCCAAAATTTAAGAAAATTATTGACACATTGTTCCCAAAAAGTTTAAATATCCATACCGCAGCCTTTCAAAATTAATTAAAATTTTTGGTAAAATTCTGCAGAAAATATTTTTAGGATTCTGAAGCAGCAAAGATTCAAGCAACTTTGATGGGATGATTTTTTTAACTAATGGTCGATTTAGTCCTTAATATTTGATGCAGTACTAGAATATGTCTTATTTTTTTTAATTAGCATCTAACTATTAATTTTTTTTTTTAGTTTCCAATTAGACTTCCAATTTAATTCTTGACATCATACAACTCACAACACTCGGTATCCCAGTAGGCAATTTTATTTTGAACTAATATCCTCCTCGCTGAAGTGAGAATCAAAGCCTAACATCGTGGTACTCACGCACAGTTTACCTAAAGTTCGGGTAACTCCACACGACCATTGCAAATAATTTGATGCCAGGGAAAAATATTATTATATAACAAAAATGAAAGTCTGAAAGCGTCATTTTTGAAGTCTTAGGATCTTAAAATGATTCTAAATTCTGGAATTTATATTTTTCCTGGGTCCTGAAATTTTTTGGTAGTCTGAGTAAATACAGAATTCAATTTGAATCATCTTAGAATTTCATCATACTTCTATTCTGGATTCCCCTTAACTAATTTTGATAATATCCAAACTTTTTCAGAAACATTCTAAGAGTGCTTTGCATTATCTCTTGTAATCTCTTGTAAATCGCTCTCTGATTCCACAATTCCCTCAAACTGTTAATAATTTCCTAGAATTGGCATAATTTTGTCTCAATTTTTCTCTTTGACATTTTCTTTAGAATATTCTTAATAATTTCCATGGTATGCTCTTCAGAATGACCATCACATTCTTCTCAGACTTATCCTTTAAACTGCATTGTAGGTAAGATCAGAATCGTTTTGAAATCCTCTTCAGTATTTCCTAAGTACTCAAGTACTTTGCCAAAAAGGCCTTGAAAGTCTATCATAAATTTCCAGATTTCTTAAAATTTGATAAATAATTAATCTCCATACAAATATTGCACTTAATTCCATTGACGATTCGTATCAGCATTCTCCTTAAGTTTCATCTTAAGAATTTTCTATGATTTCTCTTCCGAATTTTAACTTTTTCCTTTCTTTACAAAATCTCCATGCAATTGTCATCAGAGTTTGCAAAAGACAATTTATACCGTATTTACTTTCATCAAAGGTGGTACAGACTGCATACTTACACTGCACTGTAAACTATTTTCAGAATTACATTAAAATGCTGAAATCTAGGGCAATTCAGAATTCTAAAGTATTGTAGACTGCTAAAGTAACTCACAGGTACTTTAAAAATCTAATTAATTATCCTCAAAAATATCACGAACATACTTCAAAGCCCTGGTGGCTCAATTTTTCAAAGCTCAATTTATTGTTTTCAATCCTGAACAGTTTTCGATTTCTCTAAATTCCAAAATTAGGAAATTCCTCCATATTGAAATATTGATTTTTATAAATACAAGATTAAAAAAAAAATATAGCCAAAATCTGAACAAAAACTTCAAATAAAAAAATCTTGGCTCGATATTTTTCAAAATTTGAAGATTTTTTACAACCAATAATGTTTAGAAAATGTCTCAATTTTCATGATTCTGCAACCTATTGCAAACATGGTGTAACAATTCCATGTATAATGTTGCAATAATGTCCAACGTTGATGGCCTTTAGTTATTAAAGTAGTGAGTTTGGTTTTTTTATTTTTTTATTAGAGGGTCCATTAATTGCAGTGAAATTCATAAAGCAACACATTTTAAAAATCTGGAAAAATCTGCAACATATTTAAAAAATCTGGGAATAAACGTGATCTGTCTGTGTATCTGGCAAGACGACTGAAAATCTGAAAAATCCAGATAAATCTGGAATACTGGCCACTAATACCATCCCCGATATCAGTCATCTTCACTTCGTTGCCAGCTGTGTTGTCAACCTCTACTGATACCATTGCCTCTTTTGTTTGAGGGATTACTATTTACCACCTTTTCAGTAGGGCTCGATGAACGTGGTCCATCAACCTTACCTGATTTACTGTCTGCTGGTGTGAGTGCCGGTCTGATAGGAACGGGGATCGGAGTCAGATTCAACGAATCTGATCTTGTCTGAGTGCTGGAACCAGCTTGATCGCCATTGTTTGTAAACACATCACTGTACAGAGCACAATTTTGAATCGTTTTAATGCTTGCTAATTTGGGGCAATTAGCCTTCTCATGTTCCTCACTCTTGCAGTAAAAGCATCGGTTCTTCAGGCCCTCATAGAAGATTCGAGCCTGGAAATGACCGATGAACAAGTTTGCGGGTAGCTCCTTGGAGATCTCCATGTGGACACCCCATGGTACCACTGAACGCACTGTATCCATAGTTAACTGGATACTTCTCTCGAACATGTTGCCTGATGCTACCGAACTTGCTCAAGACCGTTGAAATTTCCTTGTCGTCACAAACACGTGGAAACTACAAATAACCGTAAAAGAGAACAGTTTTCGCGCGTGTGATCGTATCGATGTCCGAGCGTTAACTGGTCTTTAGCATAACACATTAAATATAAATATGAAATACAACAAATTCTTATTTGGCTTCAGGCAATTGTTACCACATTCAGCAAACTTCTTGACTTTTGACGTAGGATTACGTCTTTCGGCAACATATTGGGGGTGCAATTAAAAAAAAAAAAACAAAATCGACCGCGTTACGAAAAGTGGCCAGGTTTTAACCACATATAGCTCTGTCAATAGCGGATGGATTGTAATTCAAAACAAGCCAATCGATTGGAAATTTTTCTACGAATCTAACAAAATGAACACATAATTAATTTTCAATAGGTCACTACTGAAAATTACACAAAAGTCCAACTGTTGCAATGGTGATCAAAATTATCACCGATTGCCTGCAAAAAACGTTTTCCCTAACACATATTTCAAAATTGAATTCCACCCAGTCTCGCCGAACGGTGCTTATTCAATCACCGCGTGTAGTGGTGTCAGGTCGGTCGTCATCATCAACAGTGCTTCCAAAAATTCCGTGCGTTTTGTGCACCAAAATGTGTAATTTCGCCGAGTATTGATACGAAGCACGTAACCCTACGTCAAATCTACGGTTGAGTCTTGGATACAACCTCTTACTTTTTTAACTGTGAAGCATTTTTGGAGCAGAAACGTACCACGACAATCTATCAAAAAAGCAACCTTTTCGAAACAAAGAGCAACAATGAGGAAAGACCTAACAAACAAACTCTTCGGTACTTCCCCAGATTTAAAGAAATCTCAGAACCTCCGAGTGCAGTTCAAATGATCTCAAGAAAAAACAAGCAAAAAACCCACTTCTCGCTGCGATTAAGTTATTTCGACTTAACCACAGTGGAAACACGGGAAAAGGGTACAAACTCACACAAGCCTGAATGAAAAAAAAAACACTATCCAACCTTTTTCGTCCCAAACTTACACAGGGACTGTCACCATATGCAATCCTCGGTGATTTCTAAACAAATATACATAATTCATAACTGTTATAATTTTCTGTATCCCATTATTCTATTTGTCTTAACAGCATGCGGTAATAATGGATTTAGGTCCTTCGCTTTGCCTCATCTGCCTCTCATCCTTTCTTTTTTTTGTCTATGTCGTTGTTCCCTATTCCATTGAAACACTTTTCGTCTACCCTTAGCCCAGCAAGGGGTGACCACTGTCTATCGCTCTTCGGTGGCTGTCCCACTTTGGCCTGACCACGACAATCTGTACCTTCTACCCGTCCAATCGGGGCAATAAAACAGATAATCCCTTTTCTCCTTCGTCCCTTTCACACCCTACTCGGCTCGGCGGGTCCAGGGACGTTGTTGTTTCCTCAAACCAAACGACCATTGACTTTCAACCCTTTTCCTTAACGAGCCAAAAGAGTCCTGTTTTAAATTTATGACTTTGGGAAAAACAAATTTACACCACTGCTGCTGTTGCTACGACACAGTCTCAAAACGATCGAGTTCGGACCACTGCGAAAGGGGAAAAAAAATAGGTCAAAACTGGAAGCCGTTGCTCAAACCGACCCTGCTGTTTGCGCCTGCTAGCAAATAAGCCACTGAACTTTTCCTTTGCCGCATGTCCAACTGTGATAGTTTTATGACTTTATTAGGTCCGATCAGCAGCAGCGGGATGCGAAGAGCTTTCGGACTTTCTTCTGATTGGGTCGTTTAATTGATTTATGGAGGACCAATTCCGCACACAACTACTGCGAGAGATGGGTGGCACTCACACTGACCGCACAGCACCTCACCGGGAGAAAGGAGAATGCTGCGATAATCGGTTAGTGCTACCGATTTGAGATGATGTGAAAAATGACTTCATGTCAACAGCATTATTTATTATTCAGCACATTCAGCATAAATCTATTCGTCAAATAAAACTCAACTCAACTCAACTGAATTAAAGAGGATTACATTTAGTGGCTTGTGGTTCATTTAGTTGAGGTTGGTCAAAAATGGAGCGATCGAGTTGATGTCTTCACAGTCCGGAACCATTTTGCCCTTAAATTGGATGCATGATTCGGCGCACAGATGACCTTCGAAATATTCGCCGAACATCTTCTTGCACTGGGCGCAGTTGTTGATGCAGACCCCGAGCAGATCATAACCACCCAGGATATCTAGAATCGGATTTTTGCGATGGAGAATGGAATGCATCGATTTGTATGCTAAATATCTTACCAATTTGTGGATTCGAATCAGCGCTACCGACGAGAATGATGACCATAATAGCAGCAATGCAGATAACAAAGGGGGTCACCTTCAGTGAAGACATTTGGATTGGGAGTGGAATTTGCGTTGGACCTATTTGATGAGCAAGTCTTGGTTCGAATGTGATGAAAATAATTGTTTCGCTAGGATTTTTATACCACAGCCGAGAGGAAGTCTCAAAGACAAATGCATCGTTGGTAAAATGTTTGCTTGAAGGCAGAGTCACGCCAGAAGGAAATTGATTTAATTTGATTAAAATAAGTGCATGCATATAGAGGTACACTCTGATTCTGTGCATATTAGGATTTGAAGTTATTAAGTGGATCTATCAGTTCTATGTTTTCCCGTTCAAGGGAATTTAGATGGATTATTTTTGATCCCTTGCGTGATTTATATCACTTTATAATTTTATAGGAAAACTTATTGTATTGAGTCTTACTAGTTTATTTTGACTACGTAGTCGTCTCGTTTCTTTTGGCTACAATACCAATACAATCCAAGCTCGGAACGATGGATAGGCTTAGTCCTGGGACTTTAATCCGGATCTATTCGTAATCCGGATATCCAGAATCCGGTTTACGGATATGCTAATGAAAATCCCCACTGGCTTGGTAGCCATCATAATGAAGTCATTAAATTGGGTTTGCCGGGGAATGCTTAAATAAAACTGCTGTTTTCTTATTGAAGAGTTGTATCGATTTTTCTCCTTTGGGTTATTAGTTAGGTAGGTTACGACTCTGCACGTTGTAGTTTAATTGTAGTATCTGTGATCTTGACATTTTCACCTAAAGAATGAGTACTTAAGGGGGTTAAATTTTGATAAGTCTTTAGTGGGAATGACACTGATGGTTTTTTCGATGAACGTAGAATTGAGCAAAACAGACAGCTGAGTGTAACATGAATGATTCTGAATGTAGTAGTGTGGATGATTTCTCACTTATTATTTTTTCCATGCTGATCCTTTTACGATTGCATTCTGTTGAGGGAGCTGAATGAGTGTTTTGCAGCAAGAGTTTGACACATTTAAATTGCTATTAATATGGAGAGAACTGCTATACTGTACCACATAAACATACTGTAACATACAAATACTTTAAAACTGCTGTGGCCAATTCAACTAATTTAAATCACTGATCCAAAATCTATCGGACTCGGCTATTTAAATTGTAAGCATTCGGATTTTAATAATTTAATCTGGTTCTCCCTCGGTAGAGAAAATTCTCGCGTCATTTTTCAAATAGGCCAATGTAACATATCCACCATTTTAAGAAAATCGATGTTGAAGTTCGACAGATTATTATTTTAACTGTTTGGAAACAATACATTTTGCAATACTATTGTTAATTTAGTCAGTGAATAATAACGTTTAAAAATCAGTAGAAACGGTAAAATCACAGTTTCACTTTGAATTTCATACCACAATATAGAATAAAAAGCCACATAGGACGTTTTGACAAGTCAAGTTGTACATCGAACTTTTTACATTGGACGTTTTGTTCTACTTGATACTAGATTCCCTTTCACAGATTTCAGAGTAGAATACATAACTTTGAATTGGCCCCGCCTGTATAAAATGAGCACCAATCACGTTAGGCAGTCCGAATGTCCGAAGTAACAATGATGTAGCCATCATTTCAAACTGTACATTGGACAATTTTGACGAAGGACTACGTCTGTGATTTCTATATGGGGGTACACTTTGTGAAAACCAAAAATGGAACATGTAAAAAAATTATGAAAAATTTTGAAAGTTAAAAGCCTGATTTAAGACTTTATCATTTTTCAAAACGTCACTATTGAAAATTGCCCGAATGTGCAACTGTTGCTATGATAATTAAAACTATCACCTATTGACTGCGAAAAGCGATTTCCCTAATACAAATTTCCAAGTTGAATTCCATCCGGTCTCACCAAACGGTGTTTGATCAATCATCGCATGGTGAGTGATGGTGTTCTCCAGTACACAACGAAAGGCTGCCTGCAAGCAGCGAGCTGCAGCCCACATGACCATCCATAGAAGGAGGAAGAAGCCGCAGCGCTATCGATCGGAATCAGTAGCTCTTTGTGAGTCGCTGTTGGCCATCTATGTCAAGCACGTCATACTAAAGAGTATAAACAGAGAGAACCTCGTTCAAATTCCTATTCCTACACAAAACACAAGCTCCTGCTGCAGTTAACAAATAAGATTTATTACAGTTGTGTTGGTCAGCTTTGACATGATGTAACTTTGTTAAATTATGATCAATTGATCTGAAACGTTTTGGAAGCACCTGTTGGAAAGTGAGACACTAGATAATATTGTTCAAATAATAGCAGTTTTTGATTTGAATTTTTATGTACTGCAAATATTTTAAACATTTTTAACTATTATGTGCATTTGTTAATTGCGTGAGGATTGTTAGAATTTTGAGAAATGTAAAATTTAAAATCTCTGGATTATTTCTGAAATGCAAATTATTAGTACTGCTTTTATTTTGAGCAATTTTACCTAGTGTCTCACTTTTCGGCAGGTGCTTCCGAAAATATGGTTTTTTTTGTAATCGTAAAATTGAACATATTTGAACAACGTTTCAGCTCAATTGATCTGAAGAGAACAAAGTTACAACTTGTCAAAGTTGACCATTTTGTATGGAAATCGGCATGCACTGATATTGTATTGAACACAGGTAGTCCTACGTCACCAATGCGTACAACCCCATAGGGCTGTCCCTAGTTGTTTTTGACCTATGATTATCTTAAATAAATGAAAGTAAATTTGTTAGGGTGTTTTTGTATCACATACAATGATAGAAGAGCAATAGATAGTATCGCTTAACTCGATTTGTTTACATTTGTTACTTAGGACCTTTTGAAAAGTGACGCGAGAATTGTTCTGTTGCCTTTCAGTTTATCCTTCTTTCCTTCTACTGCTGTCAGTTCCGAGTCGACCTGCAGAATCACTTGGTTGGAAGAATTTACACTCGTTCGGCAATCTGTTTGTAGGTGAGGATGGCCATTTTGATTCTGTGGTACTCGCGCGAGTGAATGAATTTTCCCATGCTTGGTTCAAAATACATTATGGTTTGGCAACACGTCTTCAATTTAATAAATTTTCTTGCGCTTATGAGCTGTACACACACCACGTCGGCAGTTTTTGAGAGGTTTTAGACCCCTCCCCTTCCGCTGACAATCACTTATATATATATTTTTTTAATTGGATGGACCGTGGATATTTTTCAATACCCTCTCGCTCCTTGCCTAATGTGTTCACATGGCCAGCTCATTAGAACTTCAAAAAATTACCCTCTTAAATTTGTTACTTATATATTCCGGGTAATTGTGAATCTTTGAACGTGATCAGATTATAATGTTTGCAATTAGGGTAAGTCTGAAAGTTTTTGGGCCCCTCCAATTGGCCCTATCTTAAATTTACAATTCCTTCATCTTTTACCAGATTGCATCAAGGTTAGAACATAGATTTTGCCATACATCTATGCAAATAAAATCATGAAAATGTATTTCAAATTTGAGTTATGTCCTAGGGCCAAAAACAGGAGCTCTAGTGCCAGCACACTTACCCTATTAAAAATAAGGATTTTTTTTAAAGTAAAAAGTTGTGTGTTGCCAAAATCGAACCCTAACTGTACATTAGACTGGCCTAAATGTATATGGACAGACAATATATCCAGCATCTTTAACAAACCACCCTCCAGATTAGAAAAAGGAATATTATGTTCTGCGTCGTTTACTAAGCCGTTGGAAATACATAAAAATTACAATCATTTCCTAAAGGGTGTCCAACATTAAATTGCATCACGAAAAAAAAAAAATACTGTAGGAAAATACCCATTGGGTAGTTTCTCTTAAAAATTTTGGTAGAAGTAGTTCAGAGTGTATTGTTTACACTGTATTTTTATCGCTGTCAGTTTTTCGAAAGTTGGAAAAAATGGCGTCACCCGAAGAGCAACGTCGTGAATTGATTTTGAGCAAGCACCTGGAATAACGTCGGCAAAACACTCGGAACCGTGCAGTCAACGGTGATTCATGTGATTAAACGTTACTGCAAAACTCTGAGCATCGAACGGAAGGTGAAATGCGGTCAGAATGTATCTTCTATTAGTGATCAGGATCACAAGCGTTTAAGCTGAATCCCAATACTTCGGTCAGGGATGTGGCCAAAAAGTTGAATCTGTCAAAGTTTTTCGTTCAGAGAGCCAAGGACCGGGAGGGAGTGCATACGAACAAAGTGCAGAAGGCTTCAAATCGTGACGAACGGCAAAATACGGTGGGAAAGCTACGGGCCAGGAAACCGCACACCCAGATGCTGACGATGCCTCATTGTCTCATCATGGATGATGAGACTTACGTCAAGGCGGACTTTCGGCAGCTTCCGAGGCTACTGTTCTTTACCACCCAGCACAAGTTTGATGCTCCGGAGGAAGTAAGAAAGCAGAAACTTCCAAAGTTTGCCAAAAAATACATGATTTGGCAAGCAATCTGCTCATGTGGCAGCGTCTGCTTCCTCTGTTGAAGCAACACGAGGACCCTACGATCTTCTGACCAGATCTAAGCTTCGTGCCACTATTCAAATGTTGTCCTGGAGTGGTACGAAGCCAACGGGGTCACTTTCGTACCCAGGACATGAACACCCCCAACGCACTGGAACTAAGGCCCATCGAAAAATACTGGGCTATTATGAAGCAGGCACTACGGAAACATCCCAAGGACGTCAAATCTGAGGAAGACATAAAGAAAAAGTGGGTTTCTGTACAGAAGAAGCTGCAGCCAGATGTTGTACAGAACCTAATGAGTGAAGTTAAGCGTAAGGTGCGAGCGTACGGTTATAGTATTGAAGTTGAATGAAATAAATATACCAAAAGCTTACTAATGGGTTATATTTTATTGTCTGAAAGTTTGAAAAGGATAGGTCAACGAGGAAATTTTTTACAGCGTTTTTGCCGTGATGCAATTTGATGTGGGACACTCTTTATTTGATTGAATCATACGCCAGGTTTAAAGAAATAGGATTATTTTTGTTTTTTTTTTTTTGTATATTCAAGTTTGGTAGTGTTAATGGAAGCAATT